GTCCCGGGGAAGTAAAGACGGCCAGCGTAATGCTGACCACATTACCCACCTAGTGCCGATTGGTCTGCCTAATTTGCGTGCTTTTCCTATATGCCCGATGCGCGTGAAAAGGGATCTTTACTTTTGTTGTTGTTTTAAAGGCGCCAATAATAGCATTTCTAATGATAGATCAGCCTCTACATTCCAAAACCACATTCGGGAAATATAAATAAGCACAACAAAGGCACTAGATGAAAGTCATTTACAAGTTGTGAAACCATCTATAATTCTTTTCAAGGAGACTGCTGGAAGCCATAAAAATAGGTGTCAAACTTGAATCCTTTCATAACCGTTGCTTATGGAAAATAGAATGAATAGTCTTTCTGAAAACTTAATAATGAAACTTAGCTTTTAAGATACAATTAGGAAGAAATCATTGTCATTATGTTACATTTGGCAGGAGATCAACTGAAGCTAATATGAGACAAAGCAATGAATAATGCTCAAGTTTAGATGGTGATTGGCACCAATGGTAATTCGCTGAAAGTACAATTGCCTAAGGAATATCTGCCTCGTTTTTCAGACACTGTTCCCTACATCACCATACTCTCCAAGCCACCAGCACGTTTAGTTTAACATGGCCAAAATACGTCAGCTTTCGGGACAGGATGCTGGTTATGCGCAAATTTTCCTTGATGTTCAGATCATGCAGGTTGTTGGTGGTGTTGTTTTTGTTTGGTCTTCTTGTCCACTGTATTCTAAGAACTTTTCTGTGGCATTTCCCTTCAAAAAAAAAAAAAAAAAAAGTTTTTTTTTTCTTCTTCAATGGTTCCATGATTCACTATGTCCATCACCTATATTCAATGGTTGCCAGTAAAAGGATAAATGATCCCAGAATGTTTACTTTAACTCGCTGGCAGGGGCTGTGCTATAGTTTCTTCATGCAGCTTAATCTCTTCATTTGTAAAGGGAATGTTTTTGAGTTGAGACGATGGTGACTGTAAGTTATGCAAATGCCAATACACAATCATGGTGACTTAACGTTATGTAAATGCTAATACACAGTCATGTTGACTTTACATTATGCAAATATCAATACACCATCATTGTGACCTAACGTTACGCAAATGCCAATACACAATCATGGTGATTTTACATTATGCACATGCCAATACACAATCATGGTGACTTAACGTTATGTAAATGCTAATACACGATCATGTTGACTTTACATTATGCAAATATCAATACACAATCATTGTGACCTAACGTTACGCAAATGCCAATACACAATCATGGTGACTTTACATTATGCAACTGACAAAACACTATCATAGTAATGACTGAAAGAGTAATTCTCCAACAGACACGAATAGAATCATGCCGAAAATGTTTTACTTGTGAATAATTATATTGTACCTGCAAAGTAATACTGCGTGTCGCAGCAGTCCGGTGGAAAACATTCTGCTAGCAGGTATAACGGTAATATGTTCGAATCGCATTTGAGGCAGAGATTTATTGAATTGACATTGGCTATTCTGTCTGTCGAAGCTAAGATCGAACCAGTAAATTTTGTGGGAAGTAAAGACGGCCAGTATGATCCTGATGCATCCACCGAGTACTGACTGATTCGTCGAGTATTCTCGACCAGTACATAAATAAATCTAGGAGTACATAAATCTTTCAGCCCCCACTTGGTTCTTACCTTCCCATTTTCTAGCATACAGTCTGTGTACAATAGAGTTTCAATGTCTAGATCTTAAGGATAATAATAATAATAATAATAATAATAATAATAATAATAATAATAATAATAATAATAATAATAATAATAATAATAATAATAATATAACTGGGACAAAAGTAGCCAAGTTAATTATACAGAAAAGCATGGCGTAATTCATGGAAACAAAATCAATCAAAGACAGCTACTCTGAAGAGAAGCTTTAAAAAGAAAGATGCCTAAAAAGGAGGCAAGTGGAATATATTTCAGCCACATAAAAATGCAAACTTAAAAGGAAAAACCCCTAATGGAGGTAAACAGCGATACAAGTGTAAAGTCAACATCAGGGGATGGACAAGCAGCAGTATGAGAGAGTCTAGAACCAAGACAAGAGACAAAGTGTGTTGGAGTGTATTACAGCCAACATCCATTGCCGAGACTTTATCAAACCCTAGTCAAGATTACTGTGAAAATAAAACGCACATAAGTTGGAAGTTGTGCAGGTGCCCAGTTATCTGTTTAACAAATCACCATGTGACATGCTACGACCAGTTCTCTAATAAATAATTTATTTTATTGTATTTTACTACCTGTTGTCTATTAAATAGATCAGTGTTTTTCCCCTTCTAACCAGCTCTCTGTTGCACAAATCAGTTTTTTTTTAAATGGTCAGTTCTCTGCTAAACAAACCATAGACGTTATTTTATGTACGGTTCTTTATTAAACAACTCACACTGTGTTGTTTTATAATAATTTCACAATTAAACTAATCAGAGTATGTTATTATATGCCGGTTGTCTTTTAAACAAACCACGTTATGTAATTTTATGATCAGTTCTCTAAGTCACAATGTGTCATATTATGAAAAGTTCTTATATTAAAAAAACCTACAACGTATTATGTTATACCCTATTCTCTATTGGTATGTTATTTTCTAATTCTCAACCATTTAAACCTCATTCTGTTATTTACTGATTAATTCTCCTCCTTATTTATGCTACACTAAAAGATCAAATATGTGTTTCCTCCGAATAATTCATTGTTCAGTACGTTTTCACACGTACTTCTGATTCTCCTAAAAACTCTCCTAAAAAAACTATTTTAACATTTACTTTCTAGTACCATCGTTTCCTAGCAAAACAAACATGAATATATTTTATAGTGCGTTTTTTTAAATTAGTGCCGTCAATTTATCGATAATTTCTCAGTAATTACTTAGCATAGGAACGTGATGTTTTGCTAGGGCTTCTATTTTAATCTCGCCGTTACTGTTTAATAAATAATCAACAATTAGACTGCCCCATTGTATCGAGACAGACGTTTCCGGTGCTATTTTTATCACATGTATGATTTTTTTTTAGGTAACAAAACAAATTTTACAGTACCGACGTGAATGATCCCAACCCTAACTATATAAGTTACCCCTTTGTAACTTCTTACTAACTTTAAAAAATCAAGCATACTTATTCTGTAACGTGTTGACACACTTTCAGTGCGACAATTGTGCTCTTCTCCAGATTTTACTTCAAACCAGAAACACGTGTTTTAATAAAAAGACGATTAGTAATATTTGAACTTTGTGCTGCGTAACTCTTAACGGCAATCTAGCAATTATCATCGTATATTTATATACCTTGGAAAAGCAAAAATGCATTCTAATTACGTTGAGAATGAAGTAAATATTAATAAATAATTTAATCTATTTGATTTCAAATACAGCTGAGATATAAATATTTTTTTTTGGACATCGGCACAATTTTGTAAACACACCATAGTCACATAAGTGACATGTAACATTAGTTGGGTTTAAAACGTTGAAACACAATTAATGACCGAGAGCAGAGTTATAGCGACTAGACGCTCGCCTGCGAAAAGGAACAACGTGGGATCAGGTCCTGATAAAGCGTTTTTTTTTTTTTAAATGACATTGGCTTGCAGGTCGATCCAACCGTGAGTGGATAACAGGTACAGTCCTGGGAAGTAAATACGGTCGGTGTCATGTTAACCACATCACCCACCCAGTGCCGATTAGTAAAGAAAATACAGGTCTAGCCCTATATGCCCAGTAAGCCTAAAGGTAAGAGATCTTGACTTGACAGGTAATGACCAGCGTAATGCTGACCACATTAACCCCCCCCCACCCCCCCCCCCACTCACCCCCTCTAGAGTGTCGGCTAGTCTATAAATTTAGGGTCTAGAACTATATGTCCTATACGCCGAAGTCGCGTAAAGGGGCCCTTTATTACTTTTGCTTTGCTAAAGTTAATGCCTTTAACCTATAAAGCAATACAATAACAAAATCATGGCTGTTTTTTTTTTTCTTTTTCTGGCGCTATGCAACGGTACATAGTTCAGGCATTTTTTTAAACTCTAATTTTCCTCCCAGCATTTCTGCAATCGATAGTTTGTGGTGAGCACCGCTATCCTGTTAAAGACACATTGTGCCGAATTATACTCCAGGAAAACAAAAGCCCGGAATACAGTCAGTACTCTAAAGTAGTGATGTCCAACCTTTTTCAGACATTGTCCCCCTATATTATCCTTTATCGGGTAAATGGCAAGACCTCCACGACTCTCTCTTCCCCCACCCCCACCCCCCAGTGCCTATTAAGGGCATCTGGGAAAACATCCACGGCCCCACCCACCCCCTCAAACACACACACACACATGCACAAACACACACAGTATGAAAGAATATAATCAACAGTAGGCCGAATGTGTTGTTTACCTGTAATTAGATGCACGAGTTATAATAATTAAACCTTTAACAGTATATATATACATATATATATATATATATATATATATATATATATATATATATATATATTATACGTACACACATACATACATACATATACACACTGCTCATAAAACAACACCGTCCTTGGTTTTTGGTCTTATAAATATTTTCAAAATACTTGATTTATAAATAAAATGGGGAAGAATATCAGTATAACCGACTTTTACAAGTTAAAAAATACATATATGATGAATAAATTCAAAAATGCTTAACGCCCCTCCTGGAACTTCATCACGCCCCTTTCCCCCTACTCCCTGCTCTCCATGGTGAAGGACACTGCTTTAAAGTTTTAATAAATTCAGTGGTACGCTTTATTACATAAACGTCTCGTCTAACTCAACGGTACCATTAATGACCTAATTATATAAATACTGCTGAAAAGGCTAAATTATTATTGATAAAATAGAAAACAGTACCACTAATGACATAATTATATAAAAACTGCTGAAAGAACTCAATTATTATTGATAAAATAAAAAAAAAACATTGCTTTACCTGGACAAGGCTTCAGCGTCAAGGCTATTGCCGTTGTTAGATCGTGCATCTATAATGACGACATCGTGTAGATGCCTGAGGTAGGTTTCAAGAGCACTTTCTGCCGTCCTGACTACTGTGCAGCCATGACCCAGCTTCTCTGCCGCCCACAAAAACCCCTTCGACTGCACGTCGTCGTCTGCAAACACCAGCAAAATCTACACAGGAACAGAATGGGAGAAACAAAACGTTGGGTTTGAGAAGTTCAACTGTATAACATTTCGCGGTGGAGATGTGAGGAGGAGATGGCAGGTGAAAATGTCTTTGTTGGGAAACACGACATGCAATAAACTATCGATCTGCTGGTTGGGATGTTGAAATGTGCTCGATTTATAAATATCAAGTGGTTGAATGTAATTTAGCGTACATTTAGTATAGCTGGCGGCAGATTTCACAACTGTAGAAGAAATTTAGCGCTTAAGATATAAATAACAATAAATATACACTTATTGAAACGTGCCATTTTTTGTAAAATGGGACAAATTTAGATTTACCATATCAATCTAATCGCGGGCCATACAGAAAATAAAAATTCCATTAAAAACACAACAGCCAGATGTCCTCGTAACACGTTATTTTTGTGGGATAATCTAAAATTATAATCCCTTATATCAGTCTGGCCAAGCACACTCACTTACTGAAGCCCTTCAATATATTTCTAAATGTGTGTGTGCTTAAGCTGTTATTGCGAAATAATAATATTGAGGGACAGAGGGATAACAGGGAAAAAGGTCAGGGGTGGGAGGAGATGGTGAGAGACGCGTGGAATGAAAGATAGTGAGAAACAAAGTGAGGGGCACACAGACATATGTTGGATGTTGATATTTGGATTTTCGTTGTCTTTCTGCATACAAAAGTATGTTTTTATTCTGCAATTTTTTTTTTTTTTAGCACAAGGGTAAGATTAGACAGTACTTTTACATCAGCCCCGCGGGCCATTAGAAATTACTCGGTGGGCCAGTTTTGGCCTGCGGGCTAGGTCTGCCTAACCCTCTGTTAGGTGCATATTGTAATAGGATATTCGGAACTCGATGCGCTTTACTTTCCATGACTTTTAGTGATATCCAGTTTCAGGCTGTATGATTCTAGCAGTCCTTCGTCACTTACAAAAATCCGCTAGGATGAGGATTCGAACCAAAGAAATTCGGATCTGCAGGCAATCTCTAGCCACTGCGCTCCCAAGAATTGGTATCTTGAATCTGTTTAAGGCTGGGTCGACCTGGGAGCCAAGGTCGTTTTTGGAGAGAAAAAAAAACAAAAAAACCTGGCTTCGTCAGGACCCAAACCTATTACATTCAGATCTAGCGGCTGCACCACGTCAGCTCATTGTTTATGTTGAAAGTATGCAAACATTAATCACTGATTCAGTATCTAACAGGGGTCAGTTTCGCACATCCTAAAGTGGAAGCTTTGTAAAACTAGTCTGAATGTGATAGTCTAGTTCAAGGAAGTTTGAAAACACTAGGGCTGGTCCAGAAAACCGAAAGTAGCTTACTGTAGTGCTTGTAAAAAATGAAGATTTCTCAGGAAAAATGGTCACCACAGAAATAAAATGTTGAAGTACTATACTTGGTATAAAGATGAAAAACCAAATTAGGAACGATGTCAGGTTAAGAGTCGGCACAGAACCAATAGTGAACTACATAGGTAGACAATAAATAAAATGGTTTGGCCATGTAACAGGATTGGCATCAGACTGGGCACCACAGAGAGCAATGTTTTACAGATACGACTGTAAGAGAGCTAGTGATCTCTTTCTGCACTGACGCCGCGAGGCATTCGAGAAACAGAGAAAAGAAGAAGAAGAAGAAGAAGAAGAAGAAGAAGAAGAAGAAGAAGAAGAAGAAGAAGAAGAAGAAGAGAAGGAGGAGGAGGAGGAGGAGGAGGATGAGGATGAGGAGGAGGAGGAGGAGGAGGAGAAGAAGAAGAAGAAGAAGAAGAAGAAGGAGAAGAAGAAGAAGAAGAAGTAGAAGAAGAAGAAGAAGAAGAAGAAGAATTAAAGAAGAAGAAGAAGAAGAAGAAGAAGAAGAAGAAGAAGAAGAAGAAGAAGAAGACGAGAAGATGCAGTATTTGAAACAAATAGCTGTAAACTGACGAAAAGGAAAGTTACTGGTATTTTTAATTATCCTCGTGTAGCAAACTGTTCATTTGCCGAACTAAGCTGTCATCAGGGAATGCCGAATTCTGCTCGTCCCTTTCCAGCTCTCCTGTATCGTTAACTTGTACACCCGTAGTGTCCCTAATATCCTGTGTCCACCTGGTGCTGGCCTACGCATGATTCTTCGTTCAAGAACCGTACCATTCATCGCTGTTCTCGCCAAACCACTATGACGTTCCAAATGACCGAAGCATTTGAGTTTCTAGAACAGTAAAACTTCGATTAATCGTCACTCATTTAACCACCAGTCTCTGTTGTCCGTCATATCTTACAAAAATATACATTGAGTATTAACAAACATACATGCTTGAAATTTTCCAGGGATAACTTTAATACCCTAATGTACAAAGCTGGGAGTGACTGTACTGTATAATGAAACAATGTTATCAAAGCGCATAGATTGGTATGAAATACAGGAGAAGGTATATGAAGCACAAACCTCACTTATGAGTAAGATACAACACCATTGCACAGAATGCTCGAGCCTCAATGACACAGAAGGATGTAACAGATACTTGTAAAGTAACGTAGGTTTATATCACTACAATACATTTCTGTACATTAAGACTATTATGTTGAAGTTTGTATTGATCATTTTGTAAAAGTTGGAAAAAAAAGTGTGTACCTTTTATTCACTTGTAATGGATTTTATTGTCCTCGAAAGCCAGCAGTGAGATCACATTACAGCTAGTTAGTTGTGTATCCCGTTACAAAACCAACCACAGGATTTTGGGGTGTTGTGGTTTTTCTCGGCACATTTTACGTCGAGTAGTTTGCTATTGTTTCCTAAGCGGTAAGCTCTGGGTACCACTTTCGAAACCAACGCAAGACAAATCGTCTGCAGCTGGGAACGACCCCGGCACTGCAACGCGTAAGTCACAGTCTCCGACTCTATATTACTGTACAAATAAGGAAGAGGTCCCAGGGAGGACAGAAAAAGCGCTATAAGGACACATTCAAGACTGCTGTCAATTATGTTCGCATCAACACACGACGTGGAAGGCTGTTGCACAAGACTGTTCTGGATGGCGTTCGTTCCTCAGGAATTGTGCATTGTGTACGTGTACGTGTGCACATTTTTTAGTAAACATTCTCTATTGTTATTAACCGAGCCTATGTATTCAAAGTTCCAGCGGTTAGCTCGTATCCACAATGTTTACTAGTGTTTAGCCGTTATACTTTTGCTCTAATAGCTTTGTATTTGGTTTACGATACAGTTTTACAGAGATCCACGGGGCGGTTACTGCAGCTACGGAGTTAGTACTTTTTGCGATGTTCGTAACACTCAGGCGTTATGCGCAGCTGTACAGGATAAAACCAGGTACAGTTAGGTCGAACAAACCTTTTCAACCTCCAAAAATATCAACTGGCTCAAGGAACTATTGGTTCAACTGACCCAGACATGGTAAACTGTCAAAGCACAGAAGTTTACCAGGTTGCTATAAACTAGCTCTTCTAGTTAAAAAAAAAATGTATTGACAGTCATGACTATCCACAACCTTCTCTCTCCAGAACTTTCAGTCAGTTTTGACACGGATGATTGTCCATGCCATCTGTCAAACTTTCCAGCATCTTTCTCCCGATCTCTTTCTGCGGCACGCCCTCCACCCCCCACCCCCTAATCCTCAATTTTAATGTATTGCTGACTTCTCGCTATGTTAGTAGTTTCTTATATTGTTGAAATATTCATAACTATTCCCGTTTACTGAGTTATAATTGTCACATAATATGATGACCTTTTATTATTGATTAGGGTTACTCCTAAATACTCGAACACACAAGCTTTAACCAGCGTACAAACATGAAACCATTCAGGGTACTCAGTACATCAAACATTGTAACCATATCGCTGCAACCTGGTGGCTCCCCGAACGAAAATAATTTGGATTATGTGACACACTATTATATTTTTTTGGGGTTATTTGGCACATTGTTATAATTAATATTTCAAAGCTTTGGTCTCATACTGGGGGAAAGGGGGGGGGGGGGGGGGGTGCAAATTTAATGTTCTGTTGTCTTTAATGCGATGAATTGAACTGTTTGGATACATTTTTCATTTTTTTCTTATGTTTATGGGAAGTTTGGTTAAATGTACTCTCAAATCACTTGAAGGTTGCTCCTGTATCTGTTTTTTTTTTTAAATGCAAGCGCATTTTGAGAATGCACTGCAACCTTGACACTATCATTGTTTTTCTGAGTAAATCTGCGACTTTAACTCTTCTTGGTTTCCTTCACGTTCTGTTTTAAACTGCTGTGTTTGCTGATCTCATGCAGATTTTGAAATATTCTTTATTACTGCCTCGACACCCCTGGCATACGTTCGCGGCACCCCTGGGTGCCACTGCACTTAAATTGAGAACCGCTGGTCGAGAGGGTGGCTAAACTCTCGCCTGCCAGTCCGAAGGTCTTGGGTGGTACTGGACACATCAGTCCCTTCAGCAATATGTACATTAAATTCAAGACTAAGAATTCATTATTTGGCCTATGCAGAGAGGCAGCTAAGGACACCGACCTTGTGATAAAGACATGCTCTCTACATGCAGTAGACACATCTCAAGCCCGACATTCTCAATGCTCTCAAAGAAGTGGAATGAGAAGATAATTTATTCTTCAAAACTGACACTATAACCAGGTCGAGCGCAACTAAAATGGTAAAGGCAACCAGTACGATTCTGACCACATCACCCAGCGATTCTGACCACATCACCCAGCGATTCTGACCACATCACCCAGCGATTCTGACCACATCAACCAGCGATTCTGACCACATCACCCAACGATTCTGACCACATCACCCAGCGATTCTGACCACATCACCCAGCGATTCTGACCACATCACCCAGCGATTCTGACCACATCACCCAGCGATTTTGACCACATCACCCAGCGATTCTGACCACATTACCCAGCAATTTTGACCACATCACCCAGCGATTCTGACCACATCACCCAGCGATTCTGACCACATCAACCAGCGATTGCCAATCGGCATATCAAAGTAAGAATCTAGCATAATACGCCCAATGCGCAACTGGCTCAATAAGGGTCCTATACTCCACCCCCCCCTCCCCCATCTACTATCTGGTCGACAAACAAGCGTGTCAGTCTGCGAAAATGAGGCTACCGTAATGGAAATAGCAGCAGGGAAACTCACGCTGGTTAAATATTGCAAATGAGCTACACGGTAGTTGGTAGGGGTAGTTGGAAGACCTACAGAAACTGTTTTTGCCACTAACAACCAATGGCTAGTCACTTCCCTGTTTTGCCGTCAGCTTTCGTAATCAAATCTGTTCTGTTGTAATGATTTTTGCCTGTCTCCCTCCGACTGACTACGTGACTTGGCTTTAAGGCACGTCTTCAAGATCACGGTAGATTAAATGTAATCTCCGACAAGAAGTTCTGCATTAATGGACATCCAGCTGTTTCTTTCTGCGACGCCGATGGCATGATATGACAGGTTACTTAGTTTCAATCTTGTGTCTATGTGTGTACTGAAAATGTGCTTTCATGTCGTCGCACTTTCGTTGGGATTTCTAATGGTTATACTTTTATGTGTTTTTCCTTCATTTAATGATATCAACCATGACAGATGCTGACGATCTACAGAGACAACAAGATGGCAGAGACAGCTAGATGGTCTTTAATAGAAGTAGAGGCACCAAACATGTAAATTAACATTTGAGAGAAATTCCGAAGGTATGACCACTGAGAGAAAATAAAAAGCATACAAGATATTCACATAGAACCAGCCTATTTAACAAGCAAAAGCTTTCAAATATTAGGGAAGCATTCTCACCCACCTCAATTCCCTTTTCATTTCCTCCTCCTTCCGTCCCCCCCCCCCCAAGGAAAATGGAAACAGAAATGAAATATGGCTGCAGTAAAGCAAATCAAATCGTTGGAAAAAGCAATATTGTTGCAAAACAAACATGCAACAAAGAGAGCACTGTTTAACTCATTCACTACCAAGCAATGTAGCATGCGTTTGTTGATTTTTACTATATAGTTTGCGTTTCTTAACTCCTTTTGCCACCTTCAGTTAGTACACCAGCGTACTGTCTACATTATTACTCTAACATGTTCTCTCTAATAATGTTTGTATTTTAAATTCTTCACATCGAAACATCTATTAGTCAAAATAATTTATAAGAATATAAATAGATAAAGAAAAATGTGTCGAACAAAAAGACTTAATACAGTATTGTTACTAACAATGTGATACTAGTACCAAACAAAGACATTAACAACAACAACAACAACAAAAGAATCAAAACAACAGAAATAAAATGTCCATGACTAGTCCTAAAATTAACACGCAGAGACATGATTAGAGCTGCCTATCAGGAAACAGTACATTTCAAGAAGAAACAAGAGTTGGGCGTGTGTCCAGACTGACACAGGAAAATGCACCCACAGACAGCCCTGTCACTGAGATACAACAGAAGCATAGCCAGAGGTCACCCACACATGCCATAAATACCAGAAATAGGCGAGGCAGTGAATCGCAGCATCCACATAGCACACACCAACCCTCGAACTAGAGTGTTTAAAAAAGTGGGGCTGAAAGACAGAACGAGGATTAGATAGAAACAGGAAGAAAGAGGAGAGAATAAAGGAGAAAAACGATGAAATAAGAAGATGATAGAAGAAGGACATTACTAGGACATTACTTTACTGAAGATGAAACCTAAACTGTCCACTATTTTAACGGTGAACATACAGGAGGCAAAGACTTGCAATGTAAAAAACTATCAAATATAATGGTCACCAAAATATGACGTTTGAGGCGACTGATGACGCAATGAGGGTTGAGTGAGAGACTGGCTACCAGTTATACTGTAGAAACATTTAAAATACAATTATTGGCTTTGAATTTGTTTGTTGAGGTCCTGTTTCATTAACTGATGCAAAGAAAAAAAATTAAGAAAAAGGAAAAAACGTAGAGTACAAAAGAAAAACGTAAACGGAAAGGAAAGATAAAAAGAGAAAGTGGAAGTGGAAGAAGAAGAAGAAAAAGCAGAAGCAGAAGAAGAAGAAGAAGAAGAAGAAGAAGAAGAAGAAGAAGAAGAAGAAGAAGAAGAAGAAGAAGAAGAAGAAGAAGAAGAAGAAGAAGAAGAAGAAGAAGAAGAAGAAGAAGAAGAACAAGAACAAGAAGAACAAGAAGAAAAAGAAAAACAAGAAGAAGAAGAGGGAACGGAACACGAAGAAGAAGAGGGAGGAAAGAAGAGGAGAAGAATGAAGAGTGAATGGAGGAGAAGGAGAAGTAGACGAAAAAGAGACACTAACCACTGATTATTTCGATAATCCACGACCTTGCTCCAGTCCTAAAGGCGTTAGATAATCAATCACAGCAATATCCATATCAATATAACATTCCCCACCCTCACCCAAATTACGTATTTCTTGGTTTTATGTCACCTTTGGTTGTTTAGAAGTTTTGATGCCTTGTCCTTTGTTTTCCAGTCACAGTTTGTGTTGAATATAGTACTGTGTTGATTAATACTTTGGTCGAAACTTTCGACTGTATTTGTGTGCGTATATTTCATTCCCTCCCTTGGGCTTCTAAGTCATATTTAATGTATTTAACACTTCATATCAATGTGACGTTTCATAATGACTGGGATTTATATTTTCCCCATGCACTTTATAGTTCACCGTTGAACACATAAATAATAAACGGGAAGGAATCATATTTGCCTGTCATCTTCAGTGCACGAAACTGCTGTTGCATGACCGTCTTCTTGAGTCCCAAAGTTCCGCTTCCGTAACGTTTGCATGCCCAATTATGCACACAACAAAGGAGAACCTTGCATTTCCCCAGTAGATTACTTTATGCCTTTCCTGTAATAATTTACAATTATAAAAAGCGCGGGGCTAAAGATTAGAGATAAATGAAGGGGTTTAAAACATTATCACGATTCGCAAAGAATAGGGATTTCCGCAGCAGACTGTTTATTACCCCCCACCCCCACCCCATTCCCCGCCCTCGTTTCCTTGCCCTCAAATATAAAATAGTTCGTGATTTTTGGACAGTAGTGCGAAGAGATCTCTCTCCCCCACCATGAACTTTTTTTTAAAACGACCATGTTATATCGTATTTACGCAAGTATAGTCCACAGTATTTCGACCGAAAAACGATGAAAAATAAAATGCGGCTTATATTCGAGATATCAGGCTTTTCACTTGTACATAATTTATTGATAAACTGGATTTGTATCTATATTTTCAAGTGCCTGTCTTCTATTTTCTGCAACTTATTGCAGGTACATAGCGCAGGCACCTAAAGAGAGCGATAGATGTGTAAAATGTTCACAGTGCCCGTTTTCAGAACATGAACGAGGGTGTCAAGAGTACAATAATACTGTTTGCTGCGATCCAGCTATAGAATCAGGTACAGCTAAAGATGGTGAGGCTTTATGCAAGAAGGAGTCAGTTCTGTGTGGACCTGGGCAGTTCTTGAGGACATCCATTGATGAGTGTTCCCCTTGTCCAGCCGACACGTTCATGTCTGACCACTACCACGTGAACAAAAAGTGTTTACCGTGCGAACAAATATCTGAGAATACCGTCACACACGCGATCATCACTAGACCCTGCACTAGAGCTGCCCTCACTTTGCTTGGCTGTGAGGATGGCTACTTCAGGGATCCCACACAAGAATCTTTGCAGACAGAAGTTTCCTGTACACCTTGTCGGAACTGTGTCAGGTGTCTGGTAGACTGTGGCATGTTTCACGACGTTGTTTGTGTTGACCAGGATCCAGCTACCTCTGCTGCTCCCCCAAACCTCACACACTCAATAGAAACATCCGAAATAGATACGATCAAACATCTCGTAACCTCACTTAATGAAAGAGTGAGCAGCTGCATACCTCGCTGCACGGAAGATAAGTTACCGACTTCGCAGGAAGCCATATAAGGAGCTGCTTGATGAACTGTTTGTCTGAAGCCGATGAAATATGTACGGTTTTTGCGTGGCTGCAGGCTGTTTTTGGCAGTGTATTGTCACTTCTCTTCATGGTCATTTTCCGACTGAAGCAAAACAATTTAGTTGTTTGCAATGATCAAACCAAACACCGTAAATGTTTTACTTGGTTTACTCATGCTTTGTTTGCTGTCAGTGGAAGCCGTTAGCTTGGGACAGCAGTCCATCTAGGAGACGGAAAACTCCGAAAAATAAACCCCTAAATTCAAAGTGGGCCAACGTGCTCAGGAACTGGATGGCCACGGGTGAGCTGGTCGTGAAAGTTAGACGTCTGGCGGGCGTGCGGGGCGGCATCAGGCGTATGGACTACGGGACATCCATTGCCCCTTCGCTAGCAGGCAGGCAATACTAGGGTGACCGGTTATTTCCCGCAGTACCCTTTTTTCGCATATGGATAAAAAAATATACATAGGAATCGTCGCTGTAGCTATAGGGCACGTGCTCTTCGCTTGACACATTTTCAGCAGTTCGTTAAGAAAGAGTGAGGAGGAGACGACGAGGGAATAGGGAGAGAAGAAGGCATAGGAATAGGAGGGCAGGTGCTAGGAGAACAAGATGAAAAGCGGAGAGATTGGGCTTCAATAATGTAAGAGTAGGATACTGGAACCGTTGGAGTGCTAGGCAGAGAGGTCCTGTACTGGAGAGGTTGATTTTTGATTTTGATGTCATCATGCTCCAGGAGCTAAATAAAGACAGATATCATTGCACCGGGTACGTCAGTTATATAAACCCTGTTAGACAGGAGAGACATAGACAGTCTGGTGAGATTGATGCAGGGAGGAGTGACGAGAGGTTCTGGTAGATTCTCGAGGCACAGAGGTAAGGCGAACAGAATGCTCGCTCAGAAGATTTGATCATTTACACAGACGGTTCAGTGTCAAGAGGCAAAAGAAGCATTCGGGGTTTCTTAGCAAAATTTAATGGTCCTTGTATAAGTGGACCAACAACCTACTTGGACGCCTCAGACAGGAAGCATGCAATATAATTGTCAGAACTAATTTTCTACAGCCCCCATGGTGGACTCCAGAAGTAGAACATGCGTGGAAGGCAAAGAGAGCCGCAGTGAAGCAGCTAAAGAAAGTATGACAGACACCCTCAAGCTCACGAGAGGAAGTAGAGATAGCGCAGAATGTGAAAAAAACATAAGGTGGAGGTTTTCAAGCACTGTGCTAAACAGGCCAAAAGAGCAAAATCGACAACTTTTGTTAATAATAGGGGAGGCGTAAAACATTAGGGAAATTCTGGAAACTGCAAAGGCAGATGCAAAGAAAAGATCGACCTACGACAGTGGAAAAAATTTGTAGAGACCGTGGTGTGCGTCTGACAATAGACAAGGAGAAATGGGAGGGTTTTCTCGATAGGTTCATAGCTCAGACAGATCATACTGATGTAGACATCAGGGATTCAGTTAGAGAGGAGTTAGCTGGAACCTTAAAGTTTGGTTTGCCGACTTTTGCAGGTAGGCACAAGGTGCTGCAGGCGAAGTCATATCTCAGGGTAGCTGCAAACACAGACTACCCTTTGCAAGAAGCTCTGGATAAAGTTAAGGGTCAGTGGCTGATAAGAAGAAAGTCATTGATGGCTCAGACAGAAGAAACAATTAGACAGGTCTGCATCCTTGAGAACATAAGGCGAGGAGGGGAGTGGGTCTAAGTGACACCTGAACAGTCAGACTTGTGTAGGGTCACACAATTCAGTGTTGCCACTTTGGATATTTTATATCCAAATTTAGATCTTTTTCATTGCATTTAGATACTGATTTTGACGTTTGGATCGTAAATATTTTTCTAGAAACTTTTCATATGGAGTTATATATTTTATAGATTTTTTTTCTTTCATTGTCAATTTATTAATTACTGTGTAAAGTATTTACCTCAATATTTTTGTTTTGGTCTGGCACGTACATTTTAACAACTGCCATTACTTGAACTTTGAACTCTTACTGGGGGTCAACGCACAAATATCTGACAGCCCGGGTACTGATTAATAAAAACGCGCGTAAATCATACTAACTTTGTTTCAACCGTATCCTCACTGTGCTGACTTTGTGTTTCTTTTTCATGTGATTAAAAAAAAAAATAATTGCTCACCTTCATATGTGGCTTTCACTTTGAAAAAAAACCTTTCAACATGGCAAAAGTAAAGTATGAGCAACAAATTTGGAAAGAGTGGTTGCATGATGACAAAATTAAAAACTGGGGATATGACCAAAGCTTGTTGTAAGTACTACAAGCGTGAAATTAAAGCGAAAATACAAAACTCAAAGAGTCATGCAGAGACTAAAAAAGCATAAAACTACAGTTTCCTTTAAAGATATTACACCGCTGACATCTGTTTTCAGAACTATACTGATAAATGATTCATCAAAAGTTGAAGTATCAGTCGCAATGTTTTTAATTTGTCACTGCGCAATTTCAAACTGTGACCATTTGATCGATTTGTAAAAAATCTTGGACTAGTTCAATTTGAAAAGTGTGGTGTAGAAAGTATAGTTTAGGAACTGAAGGATCTTTTAATCAGCAAACAGTTAGGCTTAAAGAATTTGGCTGTAATTGGTACTGATAATGCCTCAGTGATGGTTGGTATAAACAATGGCGTTTATGCCAAGTTGAAGGAAGCTAACCCATCGTTAATACTTATAAAATGTATGCGTCATTCATTGCAGCTAGCATTATCACATGCTTCATCTAAATATTTACCAAGGAATTTGGAATACCTTATTGCTGAAACACTTTACTGATTTTCCAAATCATTTGTCAGACAACAGCAATACAATACATTATATACAGCCTTGAATGATGGTTCCACACCACCGAAAATTCTGTCAGATTGCAAAACTAGATGGTTATCAATTTAACCAGCTGTTGAAAGAATTATGAAGCAATGGCTGAAGTTGAAGACACACTTTGAAATAACAAGACAAAGTGAAAAGTGCTACACAGCTGAAATACTATATGGAATGTACAATGATACAAAAAAATTTTATGATTTAAAAACAAAAGGACTGTTAACGGAGAATGAAGAGAACAACTTGAGGAAACGCTGTCAAGATTTCCTTATCTCATTATTGAAGCAGAAACTTCCTGAAAATCTAGATGTTTTGAAAAATATTTCACTTTTTTCTGTGAGCAACATACTTCAGCCAATAAAGGACATGCCTAAATATTGTAAAGTTCTGAAATTTTTAGGGGCTACTGATAATAGTGTCGGGGAAGCAGAATATCAGTTAACCAAAATAAAGTTAGCTGAATGGACAAACAAAACAGAAACTAAAGCGTTTTGGAGTGAAGTGAGACAATTTAAAGATGCCTCATCAAACAGTCCATTCTGTAAGCTCTTTAAAGTGCCATGTCTGCCATGATACTACCCCACTCAAATGCTGACGTAGAAAGAGTTTTCAGTGCTAGGAATTATATCAAATCTAACCTAAAAAACAGGATGAAATTTGACCTCTTAAATGCTATCGTGCCATTAAAATTCGGCCTGATGAGACTAGAGAAATAAGCCTGCTGTTCCACTTATAAAGAAATTTGAACGGCTAAAGCATGCCAGAGTCATTTTGGATCTGAAGCTTCAACTTCATTTTCCAAGCTAAGTTTATCCTGTGGATCTTGTGAGGCAGACATCAATGAAGCTGAGGACATAATTATGTAGGGTAAGTCATAAGAAAAGCTATGTAATTTTTGACTTTTTCAATTTGGATGTCTTTTCTACATCTTTTCCACGCAGATTTAGATCTTTTTAGATATTTTTTGACATCGTTTTGGATATTTTTTGTCAAAGAAAAGTGGCAACACTGGTCACATTAACACTGAGCTGGGAATGCAGAGTCTGGCCAGCAGGTGCCACAGAGGTGGAAATTTAGCAATAATTTCAAGATAATGCTCGCTCAGAGGATTTGATCATTTACACAGACGGTTCAATGTCAAGAGGCAAAGAAGTATTCGGGGTTTCTTAGCAAAAGTTAATGGTCGACGTTTGGTGCAGCTTAGCATATGCTACCACAACATCCAGCTTAAGAATGGAGGTGGAGGCGGTCATTGCAGCTTTCCGCTGGTTAGAGAACACAATACAGACACACATCGTGATTGTAACTGACTCAGAGAGCATGCTGAGGAAGATCAGGACAGGCATGCTCCGTGCAGAGTGGCATGCCTCGCTGCGGAGGACATGGGTGAGGAGTATTGTATGGATTTTTTCCACCGGGGCACGCCGGTGTGTTGGGAAATGAACAGACGAACAGACTGGCTGGCTCTGCACAACTTGGTGGAATACTGATGCATGATACGGCAGACGTGGTTAGTGCCTTGTGGGAGTTCGGAGGAGCAGATGGATCACCACAGTCTGGTGAGATTCATACAGGGGGGAGTGACTAGAGGTTCTGGCAAATGCTCGAGGCTCAGAGGAAAGGCAAAACATACGTTAAACAGAATGCTACTGGCACCATTAGAATCAGAACTCTTCGCTGCTGCTGAAGATGGGGGTGGAGAGCTTATGGGAATGCCCAAGTACTGTGATGTCGGTTCTTGAATCAAATCAATCAAATCAATTCCCAGAAGAAGAGTAGTAGTTTCAGAACGTATTGTGCACAATCCACTGATTACTTATA